CCCTAAGCTTAGTATTTTGAATTGTTTCTGACATAAGCTGCTCTGCAGCCATTGCATCTAGTAACTTTTCAAAAGTGTCAGGAGTTAAACCCACCACTGTAACTTGTCAAAACAGCTCCCAGATAAGGCAGAAAGAGAACAGCAGGGCACTACAAATGTTAATGCCTGTGTCAGCTCAGCTGCTGGGAGTCTTAAGTTCAGCAACAGCGAGCCTGGACCCTTCAGAACAGCGACCCAGCGTGCCAGCCAGTGTTAGCTGTGCTGCCAGGCTGGGCATGTCTAAACTGAGCTGGCGGGGTACAGGTGCGGGACAGCACTTCAGCACCCAGGAGGGAACACAAATCCGGAGCTGTTTTCTCGAACCATTTTAGGGCAAGAAACTTAACTTTCCACCACTGTGCGGTGAAGCGCTTGTGGCTTTTGACAGTGTTCCAATGTTTTAAGTCAAGAAAATTTAATGGCTTCTTGCCATATACTACTGCAAATATCATAGTAGCATCTCAGTGCTGAAGAAAATCACTCTTAAGACAAGTTGATGACAAACATGGTGGGAACACTTTTTTCTTTCTCCTGTTGCCAGCATGACGCTTTGGGTTTGCTGTAGGGCAAAGGCCCTTATGTGAAAACAAACCTTGGTAACTCACAGAGAAGCCACCTGTCTCCAAAACTACAAGCAGAGCTTTGCTGAGCATCGTGGTGTGGATCAGCAGTATCCTCCTCCAGTATGTTTCCTTTTCCCTTTACACTGGATGACACCAACACACAACCACTGGGAAAATATATGCCAAAAATACGCAGGGTTAAAGATTTTTCCAACAGGTATGCCTGTATCAATAATATATGTAAAGCCAAAATTAATGAGATGTGACATAATAATAATAATAATAATAATAATTACTTTAAATAGCACCAAGGAAATCTCATTATCAAAACAAGAATTCACAAAGCAATACTAACAAAATTTCATGTAGAACCTATAGCTTTTATATAATTGCCATTTGGATGTACAGTATTCTTTCCATTCCTAGCTTTCAAGAAGAGAAACTGAGGTATCTCTATGTGTGCAGAACACTTGTAAACCACTCTCCCAACCTGACAGAAAATTCGGTTCTAGAAATAAATTCAGCTGTTACCTGGCTATTAACTTCAAAGAATTTCTGGAACAATAAAAAAGCACAGGAATGTAGATGGTTAGACTGACAGAAGACAGACTGGTAGATTTCTGCAAAAATACTCACTTTTCATACTGGCACTTCTAAAAAGAGAATTTTAATTTTATAGAGTGTAATAGCACTTGATACAGTAGGTTTTCCTGAGAGAACTCACCGCAGATCAGAGCCAAGAAAGATTCAATCTCCTCTGCTTTCTATTACTACCCATTAACAAGCTCTGGAGTATTTTACTTCGTATGTCCATATACTGTGGCATGTACAAAGTTCTGTGATTAACCTTATTGCTTTAGAAGCAAGTCTATGTGATCTGAAGACAAAAAAAAAAAAGTTTGATGCATTAATTAACGCCCAGAAAAGAATAACACTGGTAGAGAAAGGGTTCTGTACCTTGATGCTCCTTTACTTCAGAGCCCATGTGCCACAGACAGCATTCACTTAAATAACAGTCTCAGCAATAAACAATGACAATACACGGAACACTACACAACAGCAGTCCTTTGGCTCAAGGCAACTCCAGTTTGTTACTGAACAGTTGTTACCACAAAACCTCCAACACATGGCTGAACACAAGAATCTTCACATCCTATAGCTGAGAAGGCAAAGGAAATTCAGATTGCACATCCCTTATGCAGTCTTTTTTTCTTGCGTCGTTTTGAAACAGCATCAGTGTAACTTTGGTATTCATCTGAAAAATGCTTATAGTTGGGAGGGCAGCTGGCGGTCAGTACTTCTCCAAGGTAAATTCTGCCTGAGAAGGCATCTGTTTCCAACTTCTCTAAAAAAATAATTTGCTTGAAACAGAACCAGAGTAATTTGTTTTGAAATGTTTCATGTTGCAGCACAGCCAAGATAACAGTTATGTTCTCATAAGGATGTTCATAACAGTAGGAATAATAAAATCACGCTGAGAGATGATGAGGTACCACAGCAATGGTTGCAGGGAAAGTCAAGATAATTTCTAAAAGGAGTGCCCTGGGAAGATGAGCTGATAGAGAACTTTCTATTGCCTGGCCTAGTCAAAGCCCTTTCAGTGGTTTTTTGTTTTTTTGGGGTTTTTTTCCCCCCTCCTGAGGAAGAGTATTTTTTAAGATAATTTTTACAGTACGAACAATCATGCACTGCAATGATCTTCCCAGGGACATGGTAGAATCCCTGTCACTGGAGGTTTTAAAGATGCAATTAGAGAGGACACTAGATGTTCTCACCTAGGCTCCCTTTCCCCCAAAAAAGGCTGGAGCTGGATGAAATTATGCAGGCCAGTTAGCATGGGAGGGATGCTCAGCAGTGTAACAGTGCAGAATATCAGAGGATCACATTAGGATAAAGAGGTTTTGTGAAGAAGTCAGAAAGCTCTCTCTAAGGACTGATTACTTCAATATGCAATTCTTAGCAAACAGGCAATTAAATGTTAAAATGACTGGGGTTGATTCAACGCATCATGAACACTACTGTCAGCAGTATTAACATGGAGCAGATGTTGTCAGTCTGCAGCTAAGGCCAAAAAATGCTTCTTCCACACTTAAAAGCTTAATCACCATTTATATGTGTCTAAACAAAACCCTGATCTTGTAGAAACTCTATATGCATCACTGTAACCCTCCATGTATGTGTGCATATGTATTTTTTTTCCTGTTAGTAATCTTTAATTTACTGTAACAACTTGGCCTAGGACCTCTGCATTTGACTTCCTTCCTTTTTTTTTTTTTCTCCTCCAAAAGTACCGTGTCAAAAGATAATGTGCTTTCACCAATTAGGCACCAAACAAAGGGGGAAAATAAGTTTCATGTACATAAACAATGTATTATTTCTTAAGTTTCCTCCTGGCCAGTGGGTTTGATGTGAAGGGGAAGCATTTCTGGACAGGAGAGGTGAGGAGAAATTTAACTGGCTCAAGCCAATGGTGAAATAATCAAGGTGATAGAGAGGCATAAAACTGCACTTCTCAGGATATTGTGAGGCTAACAGAATTACAGGATCTCATGGTATTGCACCAAAAATATCTGAGGAAGACAGAAAGGGCTAGGGAATGAAAAATTCTCTTTTCCACACCTCTTTCTGATATGCATCCTTGTCCCATCAAATATAGATGCCTCCCATGCAGATATTTTTTAGGCTTGCTGACATTTACAAAACTGAGATCTGCTCCCCTGACACACAAAACCTTGACACCAGAAACCCTGACACCAGAAACCCCTTTCCTATACTCATCCTGTTGCAACTAAGCTTTAAACAGAGCCTACTGTGGTGAACCTCTGGACACTGCTATGGCACCAACCAAACACCGGAGGTTAACTTTACTATTGGCATTTATACTTTGGAAGAATTTGCTGTAGAAATTATAAGGCATCTTTTAGTGGTGTCAAGTAGTCCATGTTAATATAGACTTTCAAAGCTGAAGTCACTGCTACTCAGATTTTTGCTAATACATAAAACATTTTCATAAATACGATAGGCACAGACAGGAATTTTACAACCATCAATATATCTTCACTGTCAATCACAGCAGCTGCTTTATCCTCAGTGAAAAACCGTTAGCACAGTTCTGTGGCTCAGTCTGCTGCCCCAAAAATCTTGTTCTTCAGCCACAGCTGGAAGGAAGTATTTGCCTTTCAGGATTCCAGGCAGCAACTTCTTTTTTTTTTTTTTTAGTTTATTCCTTTTTTGATATCGGCTGCTTTTTCTCTGTGGGAAAGATGCTATCTTCTTGACATGCAAAAGCCCAGACTGCACATCAGTGTATGGCAAACGGAAGTGTAGTAACAGCAAGGATACATTTGACCCAACCCACTATTTATAGCCCCAACAGTCGTGCAACCCTTGCTCATTACACAGTAGGGCATACTGCCTCCATGTGGCAGAACATGCACCAGACATTCTTTTTTCTTGCATTTCACACAGTCCTGTGTGTGGCTATGAATTTTTGAAATAGTTTTGGAAATGGAATAGAATCTGTACGTTGTTTCTGGGAGGAAGAGCAAAATGGGGATGAAAAAAATAATATATCATACCAATAACAGTGCTTTTTTACAGAAATACTTGCCGGGAACACACAGTAAAGTACAAAGGTGCTATATATATATCTATGTGTGTGTGTGTGTGTACATATATATGAAAACAATGTTTTCTCAAATGTTTATTACACAATGAAAGACTAATTGAAAAAAATTCACATCCTGAACTTGACCAGAGGGGACTGATTGCTCTTCAGACCTATTAGCTAAATGCATGATTGAAAGAGCAATTTTGAAAAATTACATAAAACTGTATCACATTTTTTTCAGTTCATAACTGTTTTGATTCAAACTTGACTAGAAGACCATAAAAGTTACTTTAAGCATTAGACCAGCTATCTGTTTTAAGCAGCACTAACATTGTGTTATGGATACAGGGTTTTTCCCATGACTAAAATGGAAATACTTCATGAAATTGGTATATTTTCTTCCACATCATGTTCATCCCCACCCCAAAGCCCCAACCTCCACCTACTTTACCAATGCTGTTAGATACAAGACCTAAAGAAGATAAAAAACAAGACAATTATTGTTTTGCCCATTTGTGTCTTTACATTTCAGTCTTTACAAGCCGACCACAAGTGCATTCCACCTCAGTGTGAACAAGGTCTTCATATGTCATTTCCAGACTGGAAAGAAGTGACATGGTATGGCTGAAAGGGTTTTGTAAATCACTGGTGCCTTAATATTTAGGATTTCTCTGCTTTGGTTAAGATGTCTTATGATGCTCCTGTCAAATCTCAATCTTACTGCAACGAAATACACAGTGCAAGGAGGTGCTAAATTTATGATGAGGTTTTTTCTCTTTTTCTTTAAGACAGCGCAAGGTCTAGAGACAGTGTGAAAATCTCAAAAGTAGAGTGTTGCAGGGTGCTATGCCAATTTTAGCTTACGTTTCATTGTATAAACATTTTCCCACCTCTGTTTGGTATCCAGCAAACAATCCCGTTAGAAATTTCCCAAATGTCTGTGTGTTTTTGCGTCTAAGTATTGTCCATTTCAAAACTTTTTGAAGTATAAATTAGTAGCTATACATTTGTTGCTGTTGTTGCTCTGTTTGAACCTGTTGCTGTCCAGACTGCTGTTGCGTTGGCTGTGCCTGGGGCTGCAAGACATCAGTCTGAGGCACTGACCTCCACGTCAGAGGATGCTGTTCTGTTATCTGGCTCCCTAGAGGAGGAATGGAGTTCACCAAGGTGGTCAGGTTTATGAAATGGGCCACCGATTGAGGATTGGCTGCCTCTGGCTGCGGCTGGATCTGAATGTCATTCTGACGGTTGTGCAGCATGGCGGAACCGCTGACGGTGTCAAACGTCACGGTGAGAATGGAGTTGTCCAGCTGTAACTGGCGTTCAGGCGCAGTCAGATGGCCCACAGCCACTGGCTGGAGGTTCGTGAATTGGGTTCCAGCCGCTGTTGTAATAGGCGTAACGGTGATATTTGTCAGCCCGACAGAACGGGAAGGGGTTGTGACGTTTGGCTCCCCGAGAGTCACCACCACCTGAGGAAAAACAGAAAGGTAAACTCAATCTTGTATCTCGCAGCTGACTACCAAATCTGAAGCATCAAGAAAGATCACCTGAGTGCTGATGGGTTCACTGGTTGCCACTGCCAGCAAGAGAAGTCACACACACAGAGGGGAACAGAGAAATCTTGGAATATTACCAGCTTCCATGTATAGAAATAAGAAGGCGACGGGAGGAGGGCATATGCAACATTCAAAACGAGACGCCGAATTAACTTTCACACTTTTGGTTACAGCTTCGGCCAGTTAGTGGTATCTGGCAAACAAGATGGTGATACCAAAGGAAATGAAAAAAGACACAAGAAGCTTACCTGTCCAACTTCTTTTTTTTAGAAGTCTCTATTCATCTTTGTGTTACCAGGATTTATCAAATTAGCACTAAATGGTCTGATTACTCTTTTAGGAAAAAAGAAGGATTATCCCTCTGAGGAATGTCCACTACACATCAGCCTGTGACTTTTGCTCACCTGCTGGATGCTCTGTACAGCTGAATTAGTCTCATCTCCGACATTCCCTGTGAATGTGCCTTCCTTCTCTGTGTATTCATTGAAGGCAGGGTCTTCAGGCACTTGAACTTCCTCCTCCTCACCTGACTTCTGTTTTCGTTTCTGGCCACGTTTAAGAGATTTCACGTGCTGTTTCCCTTCTGGTAATTCCCCCTGTTCCAATGCTAATTCCGGCTGAAGCGACACATTTCCAAACACAATATCAAGTCATTTTGCTTAGTGAAGTTCCAAGTAAGAGACTATCATCTGAAGTTGGTTTATTGTCAATTTTCAAGCGAAGAAATAAACTTTAACAAAAACCTCATTTCAAGGAATGAGATCTCACCCTGTAATTACTCTGTTTCACCCACACCCGTAGAATCACAGAATCACAGAATGAGTTGGGCTGGAAGGGATCTTAAAGATCATCTAGTTCCAACACCCTGCCACGGGCAGGGACACCTTCCACTAGACCAGGTTGCTCAAAGCCTCATCCAATTTGGCCTTGAACCCCCTCCCTTGACCTGCTGGCCAAGCTTCTCTTGATGCAACCCAGGATGCAATTGGCTTTCTGGGTTGTGTGTGCATGTTATTGGCTCATATCCAGTTTTTCACTCACCAACATCCTCAAGTCCTCTTCCGCAGAGCTGCTCCCAATCCACTCACCAGCCAGCCTGTATCTGTGCTTGGGATTGCCCTGACCCATGTGCAGAACCTTGCACTTGGCCTTGCTGAACTTCATGAGATTGGCATGGGCCCGCCTCTCCAGTGTTCCTTTTATCACTGACATACCTACAGAAGCTTTTAATTCTATCTGGGCTTCGGTTTTCCTTACCTGATCCCTGACTGCTCAGACAATTTTTCTGGATTCCTGCCAGGTTACCTGTCCTTGCTCTACAAGTGTCAACGCAGGCCTCCTGTTGTTTTTGCCTGACTTCTTTGTTGGGATGCAACACTCCTGAGCTTGGAGGAGGTGATCCTTTGACACTAAACAGCTTTCTTGGGCCCCTCTTTCCTCCAAGACTTTATCCCATGTTGTTATAAAACAACACAGACCAACAGCTTCCATCTGCTTATAAGCATTAACCACTCTCCCGTAGGCCTGGCACCTAGTTGCCACCAGAATTCTACAATGGGAAATTTACCTGCACAATCCCAATTGAGGAGGCATCAATGGTAGTGGTCTCTGGCAGCTGCTCTAAATCATCAATCCTCACCAAACGAATCTGTGGACAAAAGAGTTATCAGCCAGTGAACTGCAGCAGTGCATACCACAGTCCAGCAATATAGTACTGCCTTAATAAATCCTGTCACAAAGCAAAAAAAAGTACGTAATCCAACATTTCACATGCATCATTTAACACACAGGATTTAACCTTGACTTTTTAAAAATACACTTATGGCACATAATCTTTTCTTTCTTGCTGAAAAAGCAGCAAAGTTTAAAGACAACAATAGAACAGTACGTTTATTTTTATATTTTGGACAGAATAAAACCCATGGGGAAGCGGTCAATTCTACAGAGAACAATGTGTTTGAAATAAAAATTACTATTTTAGCATTTCTACTTATGAACCTATCAACTGTGTCTGACTCCATTATTTTCCACTGAATCTATACACCTCAGCTTATCAAAGAACAAAATTACCTCCAGAATGCAGATACGTGACTGCATTTTTAATCCAAAAATCAATTAACAAAGCTTTTTGTTGATTTCCTTCCCAGTCATGATGCTAAAAATTAGGGATAGTTCAAGGCAAAGCAGTATTCATTATAAATTAGAAGTAAAAAAACCAAAGCCTAAAAGGAATGGACAAGCTTTAGTCAACCTAAACAAGAAATGCTGAGGAGAAACACAATAGCTATTCAGAAATTTAGAACACAGAAAAAAACCTACTAGGGTCAGACAAAACATCCCTCTAATCCAGATATTCTGCAGTCAGCATTCATCTTTAATACTAAGAATCATTTTGTATCATCAGCAGATGCTGTCATCACCTCTCTATTTAGCCCTTCTTTCAGATCACGTTTGAATACAGAGAACACAATCGAGAAAAAGAATCAATTATACTCCATAATGGATGAAGACAAAACACAGAAAAATATACATTTAAGCTGAGGAAGAAAAAGAAAAGGGATTTAAAATAATCAGAAGAAATTAATTTTCAAGGACTGACAATCAGATGTGTTTACTACTGAAACATAAGATAACAAAAGGGCTGATTCAGGGCTTTGCTGAAAAGACACTACCTAAGATTGGCCCCAAAAGAACAAAAAAAAGAGAAAAAAAATTTAGAAGTAGTTATTCCTTTCAAGTCACTGAAGGCCATAAAAAAAAACCGAAAAAAAAAAATCAACCACCCCACAATCTACTGCCAAACTCACTCACCTCTGGATGTTTACGCCTCATATGCCGACTCATGGACGCTCTGGTAGAAACCTTTGTCCCACACAGCTGACAGCTCTGGGCTTCCACCTTATCATGAGTGAGCTGGATGTGCTTCTGGAGCATGTAATCAGTGACATATTTCTTATCACAGACTGAACATGTCCACTGTTTTCCTACTGGTGGCAGACGTAAGGAAACGCTGTTAGCGACAGCTCTGAGCATGAGTGTTGTATTGTCAGCATCTCGACAAGTGGAACAATTTTATGTTGGTAACTTGATGTATAACACTAGTTCCACGACCGGCAAGTTGTCATGGGTTTGAATCTGGTGGGGTTTTTTGTAAAAGCGGGAGTAGACTCCTGCAAAACCTGGAGAGTCTTCCCCACCCCCAGGTAGGAGTTGGACCTGCTCCCCCCCCCCCCCGGGGTGGGTTTGGCCCCTGCCTCTGGCCAGGGCCAGGCCATCAGTGCCTCTGCCATCAAAGTGTTTAAGAGGTGACCCCAGTGTTCTCTTTCTCTCTTTTGGTTTTGCCTTGTCTTGATCTGTCCTGTCTTTAATGCTGGAGAGTTTTTGTGTTGGAGGAGGGGGAGGTGAGAGGAAAGAGGGGCAGAAGAGTCCCAGAGGAGAAGGAGAGGGAGGAGGCTGACAGAATAGGACCTTTCCCTGAAGCCTGTGGTGGCTCAGATGGCAGGAAGGTGACTGCCTGCCAGCTGAGGGAATCGACGGCGGCAATAATGTCCAGGATTTCTTGGTACGTGCAGAGCCCCATGCCAGAGGGGAGAGAGATCGAGCATCAGTGGGGGACATGCCCAGAGTGATCTGTGACCCTGAGGGACTCACGAGGATGAAGAGGATTGCCTCCTGTGAGGTGGACACCACGCAGCATGAAGGAGAGACAGTGAGGAGCTGCCATGGACAACTGTCCCCCTTGCACTGATGGGCAGGAGGAGGTAGCCAGGAAGATGGGAGGGATGGGGTGAAGGGTATTTAAGGTCGAGCCATATTTATTAATGTATTCCTCTCACTATCCTACTTCGTAAAGGGTGGTGGTGAATTAAATCTATGTTTTTCTTCCCAAGTCTCTCTGGTTCTTTACCCATAATGGTAGATTATTACCCTCCCTATCCTTAATCTCAAACCCTTGAGCCTTTTTAGTTAAATTTTCTCCCTCCACATCACTGTGGAAATGGGGGTGGGGGGAGAAGTTAGCTGGAGACTGCGTGTTTTTTTGTCCCAGTTGGCTTGAACCATGACAAGAGTCTAAACTAAGACTAAGAACAAAATTAATCTGTTGTTTTGGATACTGTTTTTCCGAGAATTTACCTGTATGAATCAACTTATGAGTCTCCATTGTGTTTCTCTCACTAAACGTCTTGCCACAGAGCTCACACATGAAATCTTTGATTCCTGCATTAAGAGAACATTTAGCATCACAGTGAAAATACAGTAAGTTATCTGGGACAATTCTGAGCCTTGTTTTAGTAAAATAAAAAAATAAATCACAGTCAAACTAGTAGAAAAAACTCCTGCTTCATCAGCTATTTTTATCTAAGCCATGCCCTATGTTTGGCAGAAAATTAATCCAAGAGGAATTGATGTGGAAGGTAAAATTTTATTTTGGGAAATGAAAACCTGAATATTAACTTAAAACAAAACCAACACTGTAGACCTAGCCTAGACCGGACCCAGATCACTAAAAGCAGCAAAACATGAAACCAACCAAACTATGTATCTTAACTGCACAGCATGTGGCCTTGGCTAACGATAGAACAAAATCTGTTTTCAAAAAGCAGAATATGACTGTTTTTTAATTAATGTTCCTCATACTCTCTGACTATTCTAGGTAAGAGCTGTCTCAGGAGGCGTTTAATGGATTCAGTGCAATTTTTTTACAAGTTTAGAGATCTCACCTGTGTGCCTTTTGTAATGCTTCAGCATGTTGACTTTCTGTGCAAATTTTCGGTGACATTCCTTGCATTCATATTCTTTAATTCCTTTGTGAAGTTTCATGTGGTGACGAAGTGCATGTTTTGTTTTCATTCCTGTGAGACAAAAAGTACAGCACGACAATTAGTCTGTACTAATTGAAGATCCCACCTTCAGAGGAGAACTCTGGGTGATAGCCAAGATCTCTTAAGATTCTATCTGCTGCATGTCCACAATTGCATATTTTCAATTGTTTAGGCAGTACTGTGCATTACCATTAGTATTTTAATTCCAAGCAAAAGCTCAGGAAAGCATCTGAGTAACCAATGAGGAATAAGCAAAACATCAGGGACAAGGCAAAAACGAAACATCATTAGAGATGTCAGACTTACTGCCTTCCACTAAAATATGAGTTCAGATTTGTTCAAGTTATAACACAAACGACTCAAAAAGTCAAAGCAACTTTAACTCTTAAGGCTCTTAGACAGAGAGTAATTACTCTATTTCTTAAGCCTGAAAACAGCCTAGAATGAAAAAAAATTAAGCTGTATTCACTTTCGTGCTGTAAAACTGAAACTCAGTCAGGCAAGCACTCCTCAATCTCACAAAAGTGAATTTTATTAAAATAAGTTTTGTCTTACAGGCAATGAAACTAGATTGTGTAAAATTAGGGGTACTTTATGTATCCATAAGGCTCCCAATCAACACAGTTTCTGCCTTTCAAAAATGTAAGATTTACAGTACCCTGAGGAAGTTCCCAATAATCTAAGAATAGAAATAGTTTTAATTCAGATATTCACCTGCTATTCAGTACCACAATTAACGGAAAACAAGGCATTAGACATACCTTTGCCACATTCTGCACACAAGTATTCTCGGATATTATCATGGACTCGCATATGTTCTTTTAACATGTCTTTTCTAGCAAATGATTTGCCACATTGCTCACAAGCATGACTTTTTACACCTTAAAAATAAATTTAAAAGACAACATAAAAAAAAAGTTAATGAAAAATGTGCATCTCCTAAAAACTGATTAAACTGGTGAATTAGAGAGGAACAGTCCACCTGTGCTGTCAACCACATCTTTCACATATACTGTGGCCCAAACTAAATTAGAAGACTTTGGAGAGAGACAGAAAAGCTGGGTTTTTTGTATGAGATCTGGAAAAAACAAAAAGTATAAAGACTGGGGTAGGAAAACACTTAACAGCATGAAATAATAATGAGCTATTAAAAATGATTTTGCAATAGCAGTTTTCAGCCTGGGTAATGGTGAGAAGGTGGCACGGTTAAGAATTTTGGGAGGAACAGCACACAGAATTAGGATTTTTAGCAGGTGAATCCTGCATCATATTAACTAGGAACGTGGATTGTGTGCCTAGACCAAGTATCTTCATTAATACTACTTATCTGCTTTACAAAACTAGTCTACCCTAAATGCATAAATATATTGTAACTTAGAGTAAAACCGTGTAACTTATTCCCTCCTGAAAAAAATAAGGCAGGCATTGGCAACAGAAATTTCTTTTTATTACTGACAATAATAAAAAACCACAACATTTTTACCTGTATGTATAAGCTTATGTCTTTCTAGATTTCCTATACTGTTAAAAATCCTTCCACAGATTTCACATGGATGGATGTATCTGAAACCAAACAGACCAAAACAAAAGTAGTCATTCTTTTCTTGAGACAGAGGTGGTTTTCAAGCAGCTCTGTCAGCAACTGTATTTCATTTTGTAACACTAATTACTGTAAAAAGTTCCTTAAAACAAATGCATTTTTTAAATTCACCTTAAGAAGTCCTTAAGTTCACTGCAAACCTGGAGCAATCTGGCGTTGCTCAAATCATAGTTTTTAGAAAATAATTACCAAAACCGTATCTTTATACTTCACCAAGCCCAAACTAGGAGGCTGTTGACTAATCATCTGTGGGAAGTGAATCATTAGCGATATATATATTTCAAGCTTTTAATAAACATTTTAACAGTCATTACACAGCTTCAGGTATCTTAGTATGGCCCAATTCTCTAAAAGTATCAGGTGGCAGAGGCACTGTAACTTCAAAAAAAATAGCTCTTCTTATCAGCCCAACAAGTCATCTTACTTCTGCACATTGGGATCAGGTAGGTTCTCCCGATGAATGACCATGTGTGCGTGGTAAGTTGCCTTCAAGGCAAAACGCCTATTACAAATGCTACAGCCATAGCCCTTCTCCTTGTGCACGTCCATGATGTGCTTCAGGTACTCCTTCCCTCTGCCAAAAGTCAACTGTGGAATGAAGCAACAGTGAATGAAAGGGGAAAAAAGTCTTTGGTAACAGCAACGATCTAGGAATACATTTATCAGGATCTAGAGAGTAGATTCTGTGTATTGCTAGATGAAATATCTGAGAAGGACTAGATTTAGGCCTCAACCCATTTGGCCGTTACAAGCACACTGCTACAGGCCATCAGTCAACTCCTTTGGAAACCCAGCTTGAGATGGTATCTCTGCTTCTTACACTGCACAAGCAGAGGACCTCCAATTATTTGTGCACTGAGGAACAGCCTTGAAGAGAGGCACATCTAACCCCCAGTAGCTGTCAAAGTAAGCAGAAAATGTCTTCTGGGCTCTAGGGCCATGGCAAGCTCTAGTCTTGCGCAGTAAACTTTGGCATTCGCTCCAGAAGAGTCGGTATTTCTGGGCATCAAAGGGCAGAGATTCTAGCTCAGGTCCTGGAAGAGTTACAGCTGCCATAAACAGGTGCTCCACTATTCAGCTCCCTGGGCTAAGTAACCCCACATACGTGTATAAGCTCCAGCACACCAGGGCAAAGTGCCACAATTGACCTTTTGCTCCAGTTCTGGACCTAGTCAGGGTATTTCTGACAGCACCACACAGCACGCTGAAGGTGCGCTTTGGGATGAGAAAAAAAGAAAGACATTCCTAACACCTCAGAAGAGAAATTTCACTAACACTCGTTCTATGTGTTCTCCCTCAGGAATGTGTGAACAGGTATTTTCAGCCATCTCATCACAGGCAACACTCATTTTCCACAGCTGTGCTTACACCACTGTTTACCTCACAAGCACCCATAGAAGCACTAAAAAACCCAGCTTCCAAAAACGGTTTTCTCATTTGAATGGCACAATTGCCCTCATTTGGAAGCATACAATTTTATATAATTTATGTACCCATTAAATGTCAAACATTAGAATTACCACGCTGAAAGTAAACACATGATTAACTACTGTGATACCACATCTTCTTATGCTTACTGACATAAGCTTAAAATCAGTTTGCACTTAAAACCAATGCACAGATAAGAACAGAAAACTGCAGTATAATTATCTTCATGTCTTTAAAATGAAGATAAGCTAAGCACTTTCACCACATTAAGGGTAGACTGGGAAATAAGCTCTGATTTCCAGGGGCTAAGCCAGTGACTTAACTAGTAAAATTCCCCTGTCCCTACATCAGTTTGGCCAGTTTTGCTGTTCTAACTGATTCCTTTTGCACCTCACCCGACCCAGTACAGTGTGCTTGCCCAGTAAGGGCACAGAATACAGATGGGCCTTGAAGACACTGTTCTTCCCCATTACCTCTTTACAAAATGACAAAAGCCATGCAGTAAGAGGTTTAAAAAATCCTCCTCTCTCAGCTGACAACTGAGTAAAGTATGTCCAGCAGTATTTCTAATGCCATTCTGTTGTAATAGAGTATGTCAGGAATAAGCAGACACACTGCAGGCAGCAGCCTTGATCTTTCAAACTGGATATCCACCAGAGGACCATCTGGTCTCATCAAAATTAATCAACTTGTGGACGGTACATAACAATTTTAATTTGCTCATAATTAAAAGGTAGTGTAAGATCTGAATGGTCCTTTATTGTTTCTTCCTTTAGTTTTGCTTGCTTGCTAAGAAAGCACACGTAAGTGTATGTATGTGTGTATTTCTCTTTTCAAGTGTTTAGCATTCACCTTATAGAACATCACCTAAGGTCTTATGGAATAGCATTACTTCATAGATTAGAGTAACAATCACTGAGAAAGAGAGATCTGCAGAACAGTCTTCTCTTTGTGAACCTGATTGTTATTTAAAATTCTGAATGACTTATAGACATCTTCACTCCCTCCCCCATCCCAAAACAAGTTAATTTGAAAGTATTTAAAGCTACCTGGCACCTTTTGCAGCTATATTTGTGAGGCTCAGAATCTGCACTTTCATCAGAGTTGTCATCATTTTCCTCTGATGAGATTCCAATTTTACCAATGAACTCTTCTCTCTGGTGATCATCCATTAGTGCTATATCCTGTGTAGGGTGGGAAAGAATATTTTGGTTTAATAGATTAAACTTTGATTTCAAAAGGTAACACCTAGTCACCTTTTGTTGCCATGCAGACTGCCTTGCCTTAACAATTCCTGTAACATTATTTATTTACAACATCCTCCTGCTTCATTAAATTCAGGTAAATGAAGTTCCTCTCTCCACAGCTAAACAAGGAACAACTGTTTATCCAAACAAATAATGCTCAATTATTTTTGTATAAAAGGAAATTCAATGTAAACAGAGTCTCAGTACTACTGCATGGTACTATATCCGTAAAAGCATCTTCATGAGCACCACTGAGTGACACAATTCCTTTTCCATTCAATTCCTTACAATTCAACGTTAACCAGCGTTAGTTGCATTAAAATAATTTCAGTCTGATTAAGCACTATTAATACACTTTTTTGTGTGATTTGGAACATTTTGATAAAACCAGGTACAGAACTCGATACACAGGTAGGTATGTTGGCACGTACAAGAGAATCACAATCACTGGCATGGAAAGGGCAGGAATAATTAGTTTTCTTGTTTGTTTTTTTCCCCACAAAGAGAGGGGGTGACAGTAAACCCTCAGCCCAACTAAACTACAAACAGAACAATACATCTGTCCACAGCCTTCCCGTTAAAAGTTATTCGCCCTGCTTTAAACTGAGCAATCTTGATGATTCACCAAAGGTCAGAGAGATGGTTTTTCCATAGTGCTCAGAACAGTGTTCTGCAGTGGCAGCTGAAAAAAGATACGATAACTGACATACTCCGTGTAGCAGTCCAGATGTAGTAGCAGAGCTATGGGTAAATGGGAGCAAACTCATGCTAGGCTGCTGTAGAAACCTCACTGCACAGGGTCATTTTGTTGGCAACATGAACACTGGCATCAAGTGCACCCTCAGCGAGTTCGCTGACAACACCAAACTCTGTGGAGTGGTTGACACACTGGAGGGAAGGGATGCCATCCAGAAGGACCTTGACAGGCTTGAGAGGTGGGTTCAGGCCAACCTCATGAAGTTTAACAAGGCCAAGTGTAAGGTCCTGCACCTGGGTCAAGGAAATCCCAAGCACAGACACAGGCTGGGCAATGAGTGCATTGAGACCAGTCCTGGGGAGAAGGATTTGGGCATGTTGGTGGACAATAAGATCAACATGAGCCAACAGTGTGCGCTTGCAGCCCAGAAAGCCAAGCATGTCCTGGGCTGCATCAAGAGATATGTGACCAGCAGGGCGAGGGAGATGATTCTGCCCCTCTACTCTGTCCTTGTGAGACCCCACCTGGAATACTACATCCAGCTCTGGAGCCTCCAACACAAAAAAGACATGGAGCTGTTGGAGCAAGGCCAGAGGAGGGCTACCAAGATGGTCAGAGGGCTGGAGCACCTCTCCTGCTAGGACAGGCTGAGAGAGTTAGGCTTGTTCAGCCCGGAAAAGAGAGGGCTTTGGAGAGACTTTATAGTGACCCTCCAGTACCTGCAGGGGGCCTACAAGAAGCTGGGGAGGGACTTTTTACAAGGGCCTGTAGTGATAGGATGAGGGGTAATGGGTGGAAGCTGGAAG